GGGGCTGGCTGTGTGTGAGGGAAGGGCTGTGAGGGAAGGAGGGGGCAGCGGGCCGCGCCAAGGGCGGGAAGTGCTGAGGCTCCCGTGGGACCGGAGGAAGAACTTGGGTTGTTTTCCCAAAAAGTATACCGAGCTCTCCTTTTATTACAGTGAATAAACCGGAAAAATTAAAAAATTAACCTCAGTTCTGTCTGGGGTTTTATGTGGACATCTAAAAATCTATTGGTTGCGAGTAACTTACTCAACCCAGTAGTCACAGCAATGGCAAGGATACGATCCAGAGTTTGCAGCCTCACGGTTTCAGACAAAATAATTTCAGTTTCACCCCCAAATTAACACCTCGAAGGGTAAAACGCTTTAGTAAGCAGCACATTAAAACAGTTGACTGATGGTGTTCTTAAATCAGGTATTTTAAAATATTGGCTTATTTGCTTTAAGCAACAGTGGTTCAGCTTCATTGCACTGCCTTTGAGGAAAAAAACCTAATCTTTCCTTGGCTGCTGATCTAAGCTGAGCTGAAAACTTTTCATTTTACTAGAAATCCTGAGGCAGCCCTGCCATCTGGTAAGGAAAAAATGAGCAATTCTCTCCATTCAGCTGCTTCATTTTTTCTTATTAAGCAAGATTACTCCCAAGCACAGAACAAGAGGCAGAATGCAGAAAAAAACCTGTTTCGTCTTGGTCTGAATCCTAGACACGCGATGTCCTCCTTTACCTGTGCTTGTACAGATGGTGTTGTGACTGGCAAGGTGTTGTTCCTTGATAGATACCGTAGGTTTGATTGCTTTGGCACTGGCCGTGAAATACTGTGTTGGTTTGTGTAAACTATTTTTCATTTGCGGGTTCCTTTTATTTATTCAACAATTGGGTAAATTACTCATGGCTTGATAAGTTCCTTTGTAGTTCTTGTAGGATAGCTTTTATCTGTTCACAGGCTCATATGTCTGCTGCCTATGTCCTTCTCCCCTTACATCAGGAAAAAAAGGGCTTAGACTGTGTTTTGCAAGAAGTCATGTTGAAAAGCAGAAAAAAGGAAAACAGATTCTTCCAAGTTTCTCCTTTAACAGAATGCCTTTCCTGGAGTAGGCTGGGCTGGGTGTGTGTGTTCACACAAAAGCACTTTGCTGCCTTCTGGAAAAGCCAGAGTTGTGCAACCCTGCTATTTATTGCATCTGTTGATGATTGTAATTCCTGTCAGCCCTTTGGTTCCGGAAACAGTCTGCTTCCCGGGTCCTGAGAGAGCTTTTCTGATAGGATTATTTCGATACTTGTACCTATTGAGGTATGTAAGTACCCTTTCTTGCTATTTTCTAGGATGATGTAACCTCATATTAACTACATATTCCTTATTAGTTTATGATTTAACCATAGCTCCAGGTGATTTCCTACAGGAGAAAACAGGAACTGGATTTACTGCTCCTCTCTTCCGTAAGTTTCTAACTGTTGAAACGCTGCCAGTTCCAAGAAAACAACTCCAAGTTTGCCTTGTATGAGAAAAAAAATTCAGGCACTCCTGTGGTCATGGCTGTTTTGGGTGATCTTCCTGCTAAAGTGGTTATGTGGTTTACTAAAGTATATTACAATAACTTCTTTTTTTTTTTAATTTGAAATTTCTTTGGTTAAAAGTGAAACTGCAAATAAATGTGCAAAGCTTTGTAGGGCTGAGCTGCACTGTGTGGTGAGCAAGCCGCCGGGATGTGGGCCAGGGGAGCTGATGTCAACATTAACTTAGTAGCTCTTGCTGCTGTCCTGTTTTGTGTTGTCTGCACAACCCCTTCCTCTCTTGAGGTTGTGATTTTTCCCCAGGCGTGCTTTCCTTTCCGGAGCATGAATCTGCTCTGGCATCCCTGGAGTTATCCGATGGATAATGGAGGTGATGGAAATTTGCGCCTTCCCACACCGGACTGCAAAGCCGGTGGCACGCGGCGTTCCCTTCGATTATGAAG